TTCCCCCTCAGAAGACTTTCTCTTCCCTCGCCGGCTCACTTTCTTTCCCGATTCATAAGTCAGACCATCGTCCCACTCCTAAATAGTATTCAGTAGGAGGTAGAATTGCTTGGCTTGGCTTGACTGATCCTAGTTCATGCCCTGAGGCTGTAGTAGGTGGCTGCCATCCCTGATTATATTGAACCCTGAATAAAATCAGTTCAGTTCAGTTCAGTCGCTCAGTCGTGTCTGACTCTTTGCGACCCCATGAATCGCAGCACACCAGGCCTCCCTGTCCATCACCAACTCCCGGAGTTTACTCAAACTCATGCCCATCGAGTCGGTGATGCCATCCAGCCATCTCATCCTGTCGTCCCCTTCTCCTCATGCCCCCAATCCCTCCAAGCATCAGGGTCTTTCCCAATGAGTCAGCTCTTCGCATGTGGCGGCCAAAGTATTGGAGCTCTATATAAAATCAGAGCTCTATAAGCGGCAAGAGGAGCATGGCTGTTGGGCGTTGGCATCTCATATGGTCCTTCTTTCTCCTAGCATGTTGTCCATCACCCTGTTGCTTTCCCAGAGTGGCAGTGAGTTTTTGTCGTTTCCTTTCAGAGCATAACGTGGGTCATTACATTCAGGCCACCACAAAAATGATGAACAGCTGAACGATACTGATCTCAAATCTCATTAACCACTTCCTGCTAGGTTATGTTCAGAATTGACTGGTTGAATGCTACTTTTTGTCTAATGTAAATTTGAATAATGCCACTTCTTTTTTTTTTGGTATAGGAAATAATTTACTAGAGCATAGAAAACTCAGATAGCTGTCATGGTTCTGTTCTCTGGATTCATATATAATGTAACTCATCCTTCTTTCCAGTATCCCTCTGTACACTTGAAATAATCAACACAGCTTCCTGCGTCTCCTTTTCTTCCTGCATTCTGTGTTTTTTCAGCTACTCTTCTTATGCTTTCATTTAGCCCGTTAGTATGTCCTTTAATATCTTTCTTGAAGTTTGTCACCCAGAGTTGAACAGTAATTCAGGTGTAGGTTGAGACTCTCACACATCTCTTATTCTGGACCCATAGCTGCCATGTTGCAAAACTCCAGTGGACCACCATTCATGTAGTTCTCTATGATACTCCAGAGTTGTGCAATATATTAGCTTTGTCTGAATGCTCTCCTTCTAATAAGACCTCCAATAGTGCACTATCTTTAGGGGGAATAAAATAGAACAGCCTTAGAGCATCTCCAATGAGAGGTTTTGTACACACCTCAAATTCAACACCATAGAAAATAGATCCCACAGTGTCTCCTGCTGTAACATTCATCCTGTCCAGAACCTTTGTTCAGACCTTCCACGTAGTTCACATAACTATTGCAGTACTCTCAAACTTGTCTGTCTGCCTCAAGTTTCTCTATTCCAACATCAGTGTGAATAGTCAGGAGGGATCTTCCTCATGTGATTTCCCTGCTTAAAAACCCCAGAGAGTTCCCATGTGGCAGGGTAAAGACCAAATTCCTGCATAACAAATACACCTTTTCACAACTAGACCTCACTCAGTTTCTCGCCATAGCCTGCATTTCCTTACTGCCCTCCGTGGCTTTTATGCCCTAGCTTTGTACTTCACAGTCGGGTTGCACATTGGAATCCCCTGGAGGGCTTTCTAAACGACCAGAGCTCAGCCCCTACTCTTGACCTTCTCTTAGAAGTGGGACTTGGGCATCATTATCTGTTAAAAATTTCCCAAGTGATTCTACAGTTTACACAGGGTAGGAATGAATAGGTGTTTGCCCCCTTGTGAGCATACCAAGCTCTTATACCCACCCACCTTTGGCAGAGTTTTTTTTTTCCATCTGTAATTCCTTTCTCTCCCTTTTCTGTATAATAAAACTTCGCTCATTCTTCAAACCTCAATACTGCTTTTGCTCTGAAGGGTTGTCAGATCTCTTCTTCCTCCCAAGAATTGCTCTCTCTACTGTGGGCTCATAGTGCTTCCTGCAACTTCCATGTACGTGGCAGTTGTGAGTCATTTAAAGGAAGGACCATTCCCTTATCCATAATATACCCCAAAAGCCTTGCATAGTGCTTGGCATCTTGGTATGAATAAAATTAGACACTGTCAACCTGACTTCAGTGCCCGAAGAGACTCTACTCGGATCCGTTTTACAGCAGTATGTGATTACTCGAAATAAAATTAAAAAGCAACTGCTATGGTGTGTTGAGGGTCAAATCTTGCCAGAGTAATTGAGTATTGTTCTATGATAATGTGACTGACAGTAGCAAGGAGGAATCATAGGGTAACTGTGTACTGAATGAATGACCCATTCTAACATGCTTTTGATAAAGCTCTTAATTTTTTCAAGAGAGCTTTCTCAATGGTAATCTAGGAAAACATTTTCCCATTTATACAATTTCAGTTGATGAGGAAGTAACTATCAAAGAAAGGCTTTAATGATTAATAATTAATAGATATGAATTATTATGATTATAGTATAATGCCCATTGTCTCCCCCCAAAAAAGGGGGAAAGCCCACATGCTACTGGAATGTAGATCGTTATTAAATTTTGGTCACCATAATTCATCAAGGAGATGGAAAAATGTGTGAGGATTCAGAGATGAATGCCAAAGATAATTAAAGGAGTGGAAAAATCTGTCCTATGAGGAAAGGTGGTGTAATTACAGCAAGAGGAGGCTGAGAGGTACACATCTGATTACTAATTTGATGAACATGCACATTTTCACAAGATAGTTTTTTTATGTCCGCAAAAGATGCAGCATGAGGAAATTAGAATAGTCAGGTTTAAGTTGGACATTAAGAAGAATATTCTAACTAACTGAATTACAAAATGCAAATCTGATCATGTTATTTTTTTGTTAAAAAAAAATTGACTTTCCATTGTCTCTAGGTCAAAGCCTACTTTAAAAAAAAATAAAGCATGTAATTTATTGGTTAGCTGATTTTTGACAATTCAAAGTTCCAGTGATTTTTTTTTTTTTTAAGGAAAATGACATACAACAATGGTTTGGGAATTTTAACTTGGAAAATGAAATTATGAATCATGCAAAAACCATACTGTCATATCAAAAATGTTGTCTAGTCTCTAAGTCGTATCTGACTCTGGGATCCTGTGGACTGTAGCCTGCCAGTCTTCTCTGTCCATGGGATTCCCCAGGCAAGAATACTGGAATGGGTTGCCATTTCCTTCTCCAGGGGATCTTCCCAACCCAGGGATTGAACTAGAATCTCATGCGTCTCCTTCATTGACAGGCAGATTCTATACCCCTGAGCCACCTGGGAAACCCCATATAAAAAATAGATGGAGATAAATATAAACAAGAAGGAAAAACACAGAGCCCCAAATTGTTAACTTTGTGGCCCAAATGCTGTTTCTGTGTTGAGACGCAGCTTGAATCCAAAATAGTCCATAATGCACTAATCGTGGAGAAGCCATGATGTATGATGTGTTCTGCTTATGAACAAGTTCATATTAGGTTTTATTAAGTAGATCTACATTAAAATATTTTAGGCTGAAAAAATGCTTAAGATAACATATTATCTTTTTAAAGATTTGCTTCCTCTACCATTTTGAGAATTTTTTTCAACTTTTAGTCTATAATAATTCAAACATACTACAAAGTTGCCAGAACAATACATAGAATACCTAGACACCTTTTCCCTGATATACCTTAAGTGATAACATACAGTATTTATCTTTCTCGGAGTTATTTCACCTGACTTTATGTCCCCTGTTTCTCCTCAGACATTCATCAACCAATATTTGCATCCCTCCGTGAATCTTGTCTGTAACGAATTGTGAAGTTTTCCTAATAGTGAATTTCTTAATTCCCTCTTTCCTTCTACATTTATTGATTGGAATTTTTTTGGAAGGAAAAGTTGTATTGTCTGGATTTAGTTGCAGAATGTCATGTACTTCTAACCATTCTTTTCTGATCTTTTGAATTTTCAGATTATTAGTTTGACAGATGTATTTTTAATGCCTTTAGTGTTCTTATTTAAAGTATTTACATTTTATTAATGTTTGCCTAAAGGCATTGCAATCACTTATGTACTGCATTTTCTTCATTATAGGCAGACTGAATGACAGTTTTATAAATGAAAAAATCAATGACATATCTTTTTTAAAAAACACAAGTGAATGACTTTAAAAGAGACACGCCCTGTATGCAGGCCTTAAAAAAATTACTAGTTCTTTGTTTAGCTTCCGAATGTCTAGTAATACAAATATTAAAATACTATCTTTGCCTAGCCACAAACAGTTCATGGAGCACATGTAAGTTCTATATCAGGAGAATCTTAATTTAAGCATTTCTTGGCTTTTGTGTGTTTACATTGTTAATTGTAGCTGAATTACACAGAACACAGCAAATTTAGCATGGATTTTTGTAACTCAGCAATTTCCATCAGCCTTAGTTATCATGTAGTGTTTGCCTACAGTGGCTAGTCAGCAGAAAGGTATCAAATTGCAGCTGATTAATTTCTGAGTCAGTGGTGAAGTCACTTTCCAAGAATTCTCTCTCTCGTTTTATAAAAAATTAGAAAAGAGCATTATTTAGACCAGAAGTGGACAAACCTTTTTTTGTAAAGGGCACGATGATACATCCCTTAGGCTTTGTGGACCATACAGTCCATGTCACACCTACTTGGCTGTGTAGCATGAAAACAGCTGCCAATAATATGCAAGTGAGTGGGCATGACTGTGTGCCAATAAAACTTTATTTACAAATAACTGATGATGAGCTGGGGGGTTACAGCCGGCTCCTGATTTAGACAGACTCAGAATGTCCATTAACATCTATCCTTCTCTCTTATCGTTCTCTACAGGCAGAAGACTCATCTTTGAAAATATGTCTTTGGGAGATAGTCACGTTCTATTGAATACCGTGTGCTGGTGCTGCCATAGAAAAATCTGGTTACACTCTGGGGAGGTCGGCTGCGGCTGCAGGACTGATCCGCCTCGGCCCTGAGATGAGTGTCCGGCCTGAGCGGGCACACCATGAATAGATACACAACCATCAAGCAACTTGGGGATGGAACCTATGGTTCCGTCCTGCTGGGAAGAAGCATTGAGTCTGGGGAACTGATTGCTATTAAAAAGTGAGTTTTATCCTTCATACTCGTGGTTCTTACCCCGGCTGTCTGTTCTCAGATTCCCTGCTCCCTGCCCTGGTTTCCTGGAATTAACGTCCCAATAAACTCCCTGCATACGAGTCCTTGCCTCAAACTCTGCTTTCAAAGAACCCAAACTAAGAGCTTTTAACCTCTTCCCATCAGTTGTAGGATCAAGCCCCCAGTTTTACAAATCGGCCCCTTCCTGTTTTCTTTGGCGCATCTCTTCCCACTAACTGCTTATCTATTTCATCCCAGCCACTCTGGCCTTTGGCTTCTTAAACTCACCAGATACCTTTCTACCCTTTGCCTTCCTATGCTACTCGCTACCCCACGCCTCCAACTGGGCCAAATTCCCCTGGTCCTTCAGGTCTTGGTTTAATACCACTTCCCTGGACAACTGTTCCCTGATACCTTAGACAAGGTTAGGTCGCTTTGGGGCCCAGTTTCACGATGCCCTGACCCTTTCCTCCATAGCACTCAATACTGAAGATGGTTGATCACCTGCCTTCCTGCTCCAAGGTCGGTGCCATGAAGAATGTCTCTCTCGTGCCTGGGCCTCTGCCACGTAGCAAGGGCTAGAAAAATACCGGGGGCATGAATAAAGGGACTGGTCACTCAACTGAGAAACAATGTGATATCAGGGACAGACTGTCAGAATGAGAGGGAGAGGTGAGAGTTGGTCTTTCAGTAGCCAGCGATGAGACCTTGGGGAAATGGCATAACTTCTCTGTGTCTTGGTTTCCTCCCATCCCATCTGTCTCGTGGGGCTGCCATGAGATTCAAGTGAGAGGATGTGGTTGAAGTGCCGTGAAAGCAGGCACCCTTAGCTTTCTGGCCAGCTCACCAGGCTCTCTGTCTGTCTCCTCAGGCTCTGGGCCAGGGGTTGGCACACTTTTCCTGCAAAGGGCCAAGCAGTAAATATTTTGGGCTTTGTAGGCCATACAGACTCCATCACAACCCAGCTCTGCTGTTGTAGTGGGAAGGCAGCCACAGATCATATAGAAGCAAACGGGTGTGATTGTGTTCCAGCAAAACTTCATTTGTGGAAACTGAAGCTTGGATTTCAGATCACTTTCACATGTCACAATTTACTATTTTTCTTTTGTTTTCCACAACCATTTAGAAACATTGGTGAGGGACTTCCCTGGTGGATCAGTGGCTAAGACTCCATGCTCCCAATGCAAGTTCAGTCCCTGGTTAGGGAACTAGGTCCCACATGCAGCAACTGAGACCCAAATAAATAGATAAATATTTTTACAATAAAATAATAGATAAGTACCCTTCTTGTCTCGTGGGCTGTATCAAATCAGATGGTCAGGGGGAGCTGGCCCATGGGTCATAGTTTGCCAACCCCTGTACCAGAGGGCCTGTCCTTGTGCAGTCCAAGTGGCGACAAGTAATCATATGTCATTTAAATTTAAAATTTAAATTAAGAGTTCAGTTTCTGTGTTGCACTAGCCTCACTCCAACTGCTCAGTAGTCACGTGCGTCTAATGGCTCCCATACTGAACATCACAGAACATTCCCACCAATACAGCAAGATTGATTGGACAGCTCTGGTCTAGATAAAATAAGCCCATGGGATTTTCCCATGGTCAGCTAATTAGTGACAGAGCAAGACATCAGTCCAGACCTCTTTGCAGTACCCTGTACTGACTCTCCTGGGGAACTTTTGTGCTGAAAAATTGATTGCACTGCCAGATTTCTAAGTAAAGTGCTGTTTTGGATAGTATAATATTTGGTAGAAATTGGAACCCACTTTAAGCACTGTTCATTAGGTCCAGAATGAAAATTTTTTTTTTTTAAAGATAAAGCATAGCCTGTTACTGGGAATAAGCATGCTGTTTGTTTCTCTCTTCTCTTTTAGAATGAAAAGAAAGTTTTATTCCTGGGAAGAATGCATGAACCTTCGGGAAGTCAAGGTATTTATTAACACATGAGGGAATAATTTACATATGGTTGATTAAAATTGCTTTATACACGGTAGGTTTATAGTTGATACAGTTAGAATTGTTTCATTGAAGCTGAAAAAGGAGGCAGATGATAACAATACAGTTAACAGCTAAGAGAAGAAGATTGTGGTATTACATTAGTGCATGTATTTTTTTTTAAGACTTTTTGTGTTTGTATTCATGTACTTTATTTAAATCTTAGTAATAGACTGTTAACCACAGATTTATTCAGCTTTCACTAGTTTCTCACTAATGTCCCTTTTCTTTCAAGTTATGATGAAATGTACACAATATTTACCTTTTTAAACACTTTTAAAAAGATGTGCACCACTTTGTTTACATAGTAAACTAAACGGTATTAGAAAATCTGTCATACCATCCAGAAATTGAAATATGCAGTAATCATATTGTATAGTCGTCTCTGAGGAAAGCTTTTTTGCACATTTTCCACAAACAATGCCTGTGCATTAAGGTTAACAGAAACTCAAAGGAAAATGGCAGGTTGCCAGGTAGATAGTCGGAGAAATAGCGGACACTATTGGAATGACAAAGGTGTCCCATGCTAGAACCCAGAGGGCTCAAAATAGATTCAGAATTGCGTATTTGACCTGAAAATGGTACAGTTCAGTGGCATTAAGTATATACATTATTGTACTGCCATCAGCCGCATCCATCTCCAAGACTCTTTTCATCTTGCAAAGCTGAAACTCTTTATCCATTAAACAAAAATTCCCATGAATCCCTCCCCCCAGCCCCTGGCCAGCACCATTCTACATTCTATCTGTATGAATTCAACTACACTAGGTACCTCATATTGCAATCATACAGTATTTGTCTTTTTTGTGACTGGCTTATTTCACTTAGAATGTCTTCAAGATTCATCCCCGTGTCAGGATTTCCTTCCTTTTTAAGGCTGATTAACAGTCCATTGTGTGGATCTATTATATATTGTTTATCCATTCATCCATCGATGGACATTGAGACTCCTTTGGCTATTATGAACCTTCCCATATCTTTAAACTCCTTTCCACTGGCTCCTTGTCTTCCATCTATCAATGTGCCCATTGTTCTCTCTAACCAGACTCAGCCCTCCCTCCCCTGGACCCCCCACCCATCCCTCTTCCTGACCTCACTTTCCAGACTCCCCCTCTGCCATCACTTCCCCCCACCACTGACTTTGCACTTCACTGAATCAGGCGTTGTGCCGAAGCTGCTCTCCTAAGAGCCACAAGCTGCTGTCCTAGCTGCCAAGCCCAGGATCATTTTCTCAGGCATTTTCTTGTCTGTGGACCACTTCCTCCTCTCCTCACCTCCTCTCCCATGTCTGTGAACTCTGCTTTGACCCACCTTTTCTCCTCCTCTCTTGCCTTTCTTGCCATACAACCAATGGTTATATGAGTTCACCCTTTAAATAATGATAATTTCTCACACTGTCTTCTCAGCAATTTTTTTCCTTTGCTTTGACTTCTCCCAAGGGATTTTAATCATTCCCCTTCCTTCAGCAGCCCCTTCACATATTTTATCTTACTTATGCATTTATATCAGGGGTGAATAAATAGCCTACTGCCTGTTTTTATTTTTTAAAGATTGTTGGAATGCAGCCATGTCCATTTGTTTGCATATTATCTGTGGCTGGGTTCACGCTACCCTGGCCAAGCTGAGCACTTGCAGCAGGGACTATGAAAGCCTAAGATATATACTGTCTGTCCCTTGACAGAAAAGTTTGCCAACCCCTGCTTCAGGTCCATATATCCAGAGGCTTAGTGGACGTGAGTGCCTGAATTTTCTAGATTGTCTGCGTCCCCCAGGGCTCATCATTTCTCCCCCTTCTGTCATAATTTTCGTTTACCCCTCCACTCAGAAACCGCAGCTCATGACAGTGGCCTGTGTGACCCCACTCTCCACACATCTCGTCTCCCTAGCACTCAGCTGTTCACACACCATCTACCATTTACTGAGTAGCTATTATGGGCCAGGCAGCACCTTAGGTGCTTTCCACGCTCGGTCTTATTTCATCCCCACAGCCACCTGATGAGGAAAGTCTTAGCATCCTGAGTTTCATGATGACAAGACCTGAGACCCAGAGACTCAGTAATTTGCTGGAGGGAAATAGAGCTCTAGGCAGCGAGGCTTGGTCTCAAGCCCAAGGTCTGGCATCCAGGCAGTTCTCTTAGGTGGCCACTTACTCCCTCACCCAACCTCTGAGGGTCTCCCTCCTGACGCATCATTGCCCCCTGACCTAGCTTGTCTGGGCCTGACTCTTTCTTTAAGTGATGTGGATGAGACTCACTGACCACTCAAGAGCCTGCAGATTACTCCTCCCTGAAGCATCTCTGTTGTGTTCCTTCTCTGCCTGATGTAGCTGACCTGCCTCTCTCTCTTTGGAAGCCTTTGTCAAGCCAAAACAAGATGCCTTCTTTCTGGAAGTAAATCTCTCAAAAATGAGTCATGTGAGGTCCTCCACAAAATTGGTCCTTTCTTTATATTAACTCTTTTTCTATTAGACTGATAGAGACTTTAATTGGCCCCTGAACCTCACTTAGATGTGAGAGCTGCAGCCATTCTTAGACTGGTAATTCATACTCAAAGCAAACATCTGGCTAAGAGTGGAAGGCACCCTACTCCTTGCCTGGAAGTCTTTTCTCTCAAAGCTCTAAAACCGACTTCGTCTTCCTCCGAATGAATCTGCCCAGTTCATCCTGCTATTCGTCCACCAGATGCCTTAGCCATGGCTGGTGGTGCATTTTAAGCAAAGAAACAGGAAAGATGACTGCAGTCCATGAGAGTCTGGTGAATGCTTACGAGTTAGCAATGTTTGCTACTCACGGAGAACCAAAAATCCAACCCAAATAGAAGCAGTAATCGGGATTTGGCCATTTGGCCAAAACAGCTGAGGATTTCCTGCCAGAAAGGTGCTTGGCAAAAGCTTGTCTTTCAGGGAAGAGGTTCCAGACGTCTTATTTTGTTCCTGTTCACTGGCCATATTTCCTCCCTCTTCCTAGCTGCCTAAGTAACTCGGTCACATTACACGTTCCCCTTGGGTGCCTTGTTACCAAGTATCCTTCCAGGTTTGGACACTGACATTAACACTTTCATCTTCAGACATTCTGATTGGTTGTTTTATAGAAGGAATGTTATTTTGAAGGAAGTTCAGAGACAAACTGAGCTTTACAATTTATTATTGTCAGACTCGCATCTCCATGAAGAAAAGGGTTTTTGAGTTAAAGGGCTTAACCCACTGCCACAGTGACTCCTTGAGGCATTCTTGAAAGGGAGAGTCTGTCAAATTCTAATCAACTGGTGAGCAAACCTGCAGTTGGGTGTCTGGTCATCGCACATGAATTGGATTGCTGGCTCACTGTTATGAAAGCGTATTTGTTCACTGTGGACAGAGCTAGTGATGCAAACAGAAAATAGCTTGCACATGGCTGCACTCACATGTATGTTCCAGGAAGAGGAGAACCACACATGTTCATGGGGAATAATCAGAAGGTCACTCACCATTTTCTGAGCCACCCACTCTGTTCCTCATCCCCCGCTTGACTTTTTTTGCCTTTGCTGTTCTTGGAAGCAGAGGTCTCTCTCTCATCTCACTTCATGGTCTTTCCAATAAAACTTCTCCCCCTTCTTCCCTCCTTCTTTGCCTTCTTCTTTAACACTTAACTTGTAAGAAGAGCTATATGTCCCAGGGACACAAATGAGTCAGAAGAAAGTTGAGAGAATTGAGTTGTCAGCCTCTATCTATTTGAGCAATTTCCTGCTCAGCATGTCTGCAGACTGCTGGCTGGTGACCTCAGCTCCCAGCAGCTGCCTCTCCAATATCAATCAAAGCCTCAGTGGTTTCCTCTCTGGTCACTTTCATGGTGAATTTCATCACCTGGAGGGAATATACCTAAAATAGCGCTGGCCCAGTACCTTGTGCTCTGAGAAGACAATGGCACCCCACTCCAGTACTCTTGCCTGGAAAATCCCATGGATGGAGGCGCCTGGTAGGCTGCAGTCCATGGGGTCACTAAGAGTCGGACACGACTGAGCAACTTGACTTTCACATTTCACTTTCACGCATTGGAGAAGGAAATGGCAACCCACTCCAGTGTTCTTGCCTGGAGAATCCCAGGGACAGGGGAGCCTGGTGGGCTGCCGTCTATGGGGTCACACAGAGTCGGACACGACTGAAGCGACTTAGCAGCAGGAGCAGCAGCACCTTGTGCTAGGGGAAGCCAGCAGCTCCAGTTATGGTCACGTTCTTACCTTGCGGTTCATTAACTGAAATAGTTTTTCTACCTAAAGTTACTACCAATTCAGAGAAATACCATTTATTAAAATATTGTCAGTGTAATAGGAATTGTGCCACTTTGCTGCAGTTCTAGAATTAGGTGCTTCTCCCTGTTTGTGGGATTGCTTTTCTTTTTTCAACAACAGACTTAACTCTAATTTTTATGTTTTTTTTTTCATTGCCTTTCAGTCTTTAAAGAAGCTCAACCATGCCAATGTAGTAAAATTAAAAGAAGTTATCAGGGAAAATGATCATCTTTATTTTATCTTTGAGTACATGAAGGAGAATCTTTACCAGCTCATTAAAGAAAGGTACAGGGTGGTCATCATGTTCTTAGAAATAAATGTTGCAACGTGCATGTGTTTTCTTTCCGCTTTTGTTTATTGTGGGCATGCTGCTTGAGGTTGGCTGTTTAAAGCTGCCAGGAGATGAGGGCCCCACCTGCAGTGTTGCTTGGGAGGTCCTGGGATAGCTGGGGAGAAAGCTGCTTTCAGAGCAGTCATTATGAATGTCTTATTGGGTGATTCACCCAAACAGGCTCAGAGGTTTAACAGATAACTCTGCAGGTCTCCTTTCCATGGGACAGTATGGGCTGAGTAACTATAGGTGAAAAGTGTAGCGGATTCATTCATTCTGAGCCATCCGTCGGATACTTCCAGTCCCTTACAGTGCCTATCCTGCTACAGTGCTCAGGGCTCACATGCTGGAAAGACAAAGAAACAGATAAAAAATTTACCTGCAATGGTCATTTTGAACTTTAAAAATGAACCATGTGGAACCTGTTGGGCACATTTTCTTGGTGGTGCTGCCATTCAGAGCATCCCTCTGAGTAATTTCAGTGAACAAATACCATTTTCATTGTCAGGAATAGCAGTGAAGCTGTATGGCTTGCACAACCAGGGGGAAATGTCACTATCCACTGCATCTCCTAAGACCTTCATGTGAAAGACCTCAGATTTTCCCCATCAAAGATTTGTTACACTTTAATTATATTATGGAGAGAAGTGATTTTTTATAAGATATATTGGAAGGAATTTTTCTAGGTTTATTATTAAATGTTTAATCGCTTCTTCTTTGTAACATAACTGAATATATTTGGTATTTATAAGGTATGCTCTGCATGCATAAGCAGTTGCTTTTCTTTGGTCTTTATGATCCAAGATATGATCAAATTAGCATGTGAGCAAGTGTTTTCTTATGTTCTTTTGGTTATGCTAAGAATTTGAGAACAGGGGGTTTGTTTTGATAAACACATTTCATAAATTGAGATTTATAACTTTTTTCCTCTTCCCAACACAGAAATAAGTTGTTTCCCGAGTCTGCTATAAGAAATATCATGTATCAGATATTGCAAGGACTTGCATTTATTCACAAACACGGTAGGTGATTGGAGTGTTGTGCTTTTGAATAGCAATGAAATGCTGTCCTCAGGTAGAGGGTATAGGATGCATCAGTGTCTTTTGTAATTGACTTCCAGAAAAAGTTGAAGAGTTGTGAGGCTGATAGATTTTGGAATATGTTATCTTCTGTAGCTTGATTTCTGAATTTCCCTCATTATTTATCATTTCTGCGTGTTCTTACTCTCTAGGCTTTAACATCAAGCTTGTTACTTATATGTTGAAAAATTATTTCTGACCATTAACGGGTGTATTAACGAGAAGCCTCATCTAGAATTCAGACAAGCTCCATCCACATATGATGTTTAACCCCCCTTAACTAGCACTGCTTTGCTGTGGTTTCTCATTTTCTTAGTATATTTAATTTCAGCTTGTTCAGAAAGGTGCAAAGTGGTCTAATAAGATTTGTGTAATCCAGGAAAATAAAATACACTTAAAATATGCAAAGAAAAAGCAAAACATGGCATGGATGTAGCCAGGGGTGAGGTTACTCCATGAAATACATATCAGCAAGTCTTATTTAAGTAGAAGAAACAGTCTACGTTTGTTGTCAGACAATGCAGAACATGAAACAGTACCAATTCCAACCTACTTGGTCTCTCCAATGTATAAACAGCTCAGTTGCCCAAGAGAAGCAGAGTTACTCCTGGTACTGATACCAGAGAGGTTTCTCTCATGGATCTTTACATAGCGTTACCTTCACAGTAAACACAGCAGTGGGTTGCATGAGATAGTTCCAGGTCATCTCCCTCAACATAGGCCAATTACATCACCTGATCAGAGAAAATGGTCCTACTGGGGCCCAATATGATTCACTCTAAGGATGGTCTGGTGAGTCCAGGGAGAGATTCAGAGCATCCAGAGAAATGGATGGTCACATAACCTGGCAGGAAATCCTCTGTCACTGTTGTTCTTAGCTGGGCTTTTGTACAGTATTGAGGATTAGTAGTCTGAGGCATTACTAGTCTGGGTTACTAACTGGCCACAGACCCAGCTGAGGTTGGGGTGATACCTTCTTGTGAACACGGAGCCTCGGAATGGACACACGTGTCTACCAGGAGGGTAGGGAGTCTGTCAGGAGCCCCTTTGGGGCGGCTTTGACGTCCAGACAGATGGGCAAGCTGATATTACACAGGCAGAAATCTGTTCCCTCCCAGTCTAAAGGTATCACTGCCATTGCAAATGTTGCACCGGCAAATGGGTTTCATTACCCAACAAAGAAGCTGGGCAGAAGCCCTCTGATAACAGCCAGTTCAGATTTGACGCAAATTGGCAGCAAGGGAAAAAGACATTGTGCCACATGGTAAGTCTGGGATCCTTCCCAGTCTTCTCTGTGACCCCTAAACAGCACCTCACGCTTAGAGGTCAAACAAAATACAGACAGACAAACAGGCTGTCCATCCGTGGAAGACGTGGGTATGTGCTAAATAATTCAAGAGTGATATGCAAGCCCATGAACCAATTCTATAAAAAGTCTTCGATAAAAGGTATCATCTCTGATTCCACTGACACAGGTTGACACACTTTTGACACAAGAATTCCCAAGGGATGGTGTGAGTTTGGAAAACGCTGAAAACTTCTGGTTTGGTGTCTTACAGACAGATAGGAGGAGAAGGAGCACTTACTAGAGTTGAGAGTCCAGGAGAAAGAAATGGTGAGAAATCAAAGGGAATCTCCAAAGAGAAAGGTCAACTAGACATGTTCAGATAGGGACCCGTTGTAGTGTCTGAGTTACCAGGGTTCTTTGCTCAGAGGACTGCGTGGTGGGTCTGTAAGATGTTAATACGTGTTGGCTTTCTCTTCCTTTCCTTTTTGTTCCTTTTTGTGAGGCTCAGTTGTTGCCAGGAAGAACTTACATCCTTTTATTCAGGTCTCTACCAAATCCCATCAAATCAACCCACATATGCTCACACAGACATGCACCCATATGTGCACACACATGCACACATCTGTGAGTACACATGCACACATGAATCTACATATCTACTCTCCCCCAGCACCCACCAGGGCACATATATGCACACACACACACAATGCATATCCATATCCAGTAATGTAGCATCCATAAATGATTGTGTGAAAACAACTCTTTGGAACCTTGCATTATCAGTCTCCCTTGCATGCCTTACATACTTGGATTATACTTGGAAATGGTGCAAGGGAAGGCTCAGTTCATGGTGGCCAGACCTCCTTTGCTCTTCTAACCCCAGCACCATGCTTCTTCCTCAGATTCTCGTGGACACTCTCCCCCAGCTAAGTGCCAGTTCTGGTTTGAGCTTAATGTCATTTCATCCATTGCCTTTTGTGTCTCCTTGCCAGGTTCTCATGTAGAGAAAACAGATGGTGTCTTTTCCTTTCAAAGAAGAGGAAACTGAGGTTCAGAGAGGTTTAAAGACCTGCCAAAGGCCCCGCTGCCTTAAGGCAGTAGAGTGGAGACTAGTTCCCATATCTCTGTCCATTTGCCATGCTTCTCTAGAAAAACCTGTCTGTTCTCACAGAGAGCAGAGATTCAGAGGTGAAGAAAGTCGTGATGATAATTAGAGGTGGGGGAACTTCCCCAGGGGACCTGTGGTAAAGAATCCATCTGCCGATGCAGGGGACACAGTTCAATCCCTGACTTGGAAAGATTCCATATGCCACGGGGCAGCTAGGACCACATATCTGCTGAGCCGGCTGTCTAGAACCAATGCTCTGCAACAAGAGAAGTCACCACAGTGAGAAGCCCATGCACCGCAACTAGAGAGGAGCCCCTGCTCGCTGCAATTGGAGAAAGCCCATGTGCAGCAACGAAGACCCAGTGCAGCCAAAAATAAATAATAAAATCAATTAATTAATTTTTAAAAATAAAAATAATTGCAGGTGGGATAGATACTTATTTTGCGGGTTCTATCTCATTCTCATTCATAAATGATTTTTGAACACTTTTGAATGGTTCTGTATGGTGTTGACTGAACTTTGGAGCTTTATACGGTTCCTTTCCTCCAGTCATGGAAAACAAATAATCGAAAGCACTTCACAGATCTGTTCTGTGAGTTCCAGGCTCTTCCCTGCTGGCTGGTTCTCACTGTGTGAAGGTGCGCCTGCCCCTGGGAGCACACTCCTTGGGGAGCAGGGCACAGAGCCGCAGGTGGTTGCCATGGCCGTGGTTAATATCAGTGACTACCTCCCCCTACTGGGAATGAAAACACAGCTCCATTGGTGCTGAGAGCAATGCCAAGGCATATGTACTTTGCAGGAGTTAAATAATGAATGCAAAGTGTGTTTCATCCTTGCCCTGCACTTAAAAATATCCATGCAGGAAATCTGAAGTGCCTTAGGTGGCGTACAGGAAAATGTTTGGCCCAAAGAGGTGGTTCTCTGCTTCGTGCCTCACCCCTGTCCTGCTCTACGTGTCCTTGAGTCAGCCCTTGGCCTTTCTGTGTGTTGCTGTCCTCCCAGCCTTCTTGATAAAAGCACTGTGGGTTTAAATTCAGTAATATCTGTGAAATTACAATTTCCCTAGTAGGAAGGTGCGCTATAGAAATCCATAGTGTTTAAGTATTCTCTGCTTATTTTCGTGTATTCCTATCAGATTCCTCATGAACAGAATGTGGAGAGGAGAAAGCCTTCTTTGTGGCTTGATGTTTTTCTTGCCCAAGGGTTGTTAGTGAAAAAGAACGCGCAACACATTTTCTGCCAGGATGAAAGAGAAAATCCCTCTGTTATTCGACTGGCATGAGGTACCCTGAAATTAAAATGAAGGTCTGTTGCTGTGTTCTGAAAGCCAAACAGTTTCGAACAGGAAGATTCTGTGTTAACAGCACTTTGCTGTTTCATGATCTGTGAACAACCCAGCTATAAGGGTTTTCATTGTGAATCAGAAGCGCAGAGGAAGACGTGGGCTCATTGTTACAAGCCCGAGTGCACACATCAGCAGAACATGGATTGGGCCAGGAATCAGATCAGAGCTTAGAGCCACCTCCTCACAGTTGGCAGGGGGAGGGGTGGGGCGGCACATCACCAGCCTCATGAACTTTAATTTTTGCAAAAAAATGGAGCTAGGGTGTCTGCCTGCCCCCTTTGCCAGGTTGTCAAGACTATAAAATGAGAGGAGAGGTACTACGAACAATGACAAGCTCCTGCAAGGTGCCGATGTGCCAAGCACTGCACTAAAAGCTCTGTGAAATATTAACACATGAATCCTGCAAAACAACCCCACAAGGCAGATAGATGCTGTTATGTCCCCATTTTATAGGGGGCAACTCACTTGCCAGCCAGTGAATAGAACTGGGATTTGAAATCAGGCAACCCAATCAGTCTGCCTACTAAACTGTTACAAAGCATTGCCTCTCGTAGTGATAAAATAGTGATGCTTTGTTAAAATAGAGATGAAAAGTAAAGATGCCTGACAAGAGGGCCTTAGACCTTTGATTAATGAACAGAACTCATGAGTTTAAGGTTGATCATAGTTGCTGTTACTCATGCCAGATATTCTACAGACATTCACAAATGCTTCCTAGTTATAAAGGCTTATCCTCAAATACCATATGACAGATGACATATGTCAGCTAACAAATACAGTTTTCATTAGTCATTTTTAAGAGTCTGTTTGCAATTAAACTTTTCCCCTAGCCATTTTTTCTCTGATACTTTATTTGGGGCCTGAAATTTGATCCTTCAGGATCAAAGGAAAGCTGCTTAGAGGGAGATATGAAGAATCATATTCTGGTAAGACCAGAATCTTACCTCTCCTCATTTCATTAGTGCTCACATCCTCTGTGGAAGTAGGATTAAAGAATAGTTAGCAGGAAAGAATAAAGCTTGACTGGTGGGAGCAGTTTGTCAGTGTATATCAGAGCATGACCTGGGTGGGAGCAAGTTACAGGGTCTGGAGTGCAGAATTATGCCTGTATCTGAGTACAGTTGATGTGATAGGATGCACTGGACAAGAGAAGATGCAGGATTGTTGAGTGAGTGTTATGGTTGGTGGCGGGAAGGTGGCAGTGGCACCTGGATGTGGAGGACGTTTCAGTGTCAGAAATGCCACTTAAGTTTGGAAATAGCAATGTACACCAACTAGAGGAGCAAAGGGCAGTCTAAGAGGAGAAAGAGGGTTAGTCTGGACTTGAGAGGACCATCCCCACAAATCAAGGTTTTGCCATCTGGATTGAGAGGGACAGAACAGAGGCAGGCAGTACAAGAGCTCTGATGCACTGCTTGGTGGGATTGTGACTAATTCAGCCCTCATCCCCTTGTGACTCACTTTTCCCATCTGTTTGGTAAGAAAATGGTCTGTCATCTCTTTTTTCCATGCTTTTGATGCTCTGAGTGTTTAGGAAGAGAAACCATCATCTATAGATCGTATGTTTCAGGGGTCATGGAGGCTTCCTGGGTACACTGGCAAAAGATCCCATTCTCATAACTGCATGCATATTTACACATTTTTAAGTCAGAGAAGGGGCAGAAAGGACCCAAAGGAAGGATTTTGATGAAAACTGTGACCCAACTCTGTTACTGTCTGGGGAAAGATGGATCCAGCATAACTACAAGCTACCTGGATATCATATCAAAAGTTTGAGAAGGAGAGATGATTCAGGAGAGAAGAAGAGTGGTTTGGGACAGGCTAATATGGGGGTGACATCAGCTGTTGTGCCTCCTATCAGAGGTGGGAGTCTGGAGAGGGGGCAGCAAGCACATTAGAGATGCAGACGTGAGCACGTGAGCACAGAGGTGGTTGAGGAACAGTCGGCACGTCAGTGATGGCTCTTACTTCCTCCCATAATGTGCTACTTCAACTCCAGCCTCACGGCACTGGTTGTGATAGTAGACGACAAATAACCCCATCAGCAGCGCTGACAGTTGTATTCCCTGTTTTGGTGACCCATTCAGGTTTAGACTCATGCAGAATGATGTCTATCAGTGATGCTCCCCTCAGGAGGAAGGCTTGGGTCTTTCAGAGGCATGTGATGCTGATCAGCGGGTGTTTGGGTCTCTCCTGCATGTACCCCTGAAGCCCTGCTGTAGCTGAGACAGGCTTCCCATTTGATGAGTTATCTTTGCCTTTCGCAATGTAGATTACAGATCCACACTGTGCTTTTTCACTGGGCAAAGTAATCAGTATTTGACCTTTAGACATATTTGCAATACACACCATGATCTCAGATATGAGTAGGTCATATCCATAGATCCCTTGTTTCTTAAACAAAATCTGTAATTGTGTTTCTGCAGCAGTGTAAACTCCCAGTATCCTAGTACCATGGTTTTAATCTCAAATTCTTTCTGGCTGACTTGGGCAACGTACGCATGGTATTTTTTCCTAGAGTGACAATTTCTTTTTGCCAGGTTATCTCAGCCCATAATGGAGTTTTGGTATTTTAAAAGAAGTTTGTTCTCCTGGAAAAAAAAATTATGAAGACAACTTTGAAGGATTTGACATTTTTAATTCATCAAAGGAAAATGAATTGCCCAAAGGGCTTTGTATTATCATTATTGGGATGAATGTCCAGAGCCTTCGGTGTCATACCAGACTATCACTGTCATGAAAAGAGCAATACAGCTGCAAAGAGTGATGCAGACATGATGCTGCCTCTGAATTCCTTTTCCACTTCCTCTGCAGGCTTTTTCCATCGGGACTTAAAGCCAGAGAACCTCCTCTGTATGGGACCCGAACTTGTGAAAATTGCAGACTTTGGATTGGCCCGAGAAATCCGATCAAGACCTCCATACACAGACTATGTGTCTACCAGATGGTGAGTACAGTCTTCCTCAAGAGGATTTAATTGTATTTCTTATATTTAAAAACCATGCAATTATACTGATTATAATGTTACAAATATTATTCCACCAAGAACACCATTTTAAAACATCTATGTGTAGGAATGTTGGTATTGTACAAGCTTTAAAAGCTTGTGTTGTAAATAATTTTAGAAGCAAGTCCAACAGGGAACTATATTCAGTATCTTGTAGTAAACTATAATAGAAAATAATCTGAAAAAGAATACAAATGTATCTGAATCACTTTGCTGTATACCAGAAACTAACACAACATTGTAAATAAACTATACTTCAATAAAAAATATTATAGGAAATCCATTATGCTTTTCCATAATCTAAATATTCTGTATATAGAGCTTCCTAAAGACTGTTTCCTAAAAGAGTTGTGTAAAAGATTCTCCAAAGACCTGTTGGAAAACCAGCTAACTGGTGTTATTAAAACTTTCAGACTCGAAGCATTTGATTTAAGCAGTTGGCCATGACCAAGAAGAGCCTACAAACAAATTCTATATTCTCTCTTGCTTGCTCTCTGCCTACTCTCTCTCACTATCTGTATTTCTCAAAGATGCTGTAGAAAAGAGACCCGTCTAGAAATGCTCAACAGAAAATTTCGTGATACAGAAGAGCCCAGCTTTATGCTGCAGCCACAGCTGTTGGCTTTACAAGTTAACACACCGCCCTGAACAAGACAGAAAACAGAAATACACAAACGCTCTCCTGGAGAGCTGATAGTGTGTTTAGTTTGCTTCTGGCTGTTGAATGGGAACTAGCTTCTCCTCTGTCCTGCAGGTACCGGGCTCCGGAGGTGCTCCTGCGGTCCACCAGCTACAGCTCGCCCATCGACATCTGGGCCGTGGGCTGCATCATGGCAGAGGTGTACACGCTCCGGCCGCTCTTCCCCGGGGCCAGTGAGATTGACACCATCTTCAAAATCTGCCAAGTACTGGGGACACCCAAAAAGGTAATGATGTGGGCCAAAGCAGCAGCTTCCCGTGCTCCCAGCCGCCTCCCCGAGCAGCATGGACTCGTTCTGGAATCTTCCTCGCCCTGGTAGTCCTCCACCCCCTCCTCTTACCCTGCAGTGGAAGACTTCCTGGCTCCCTCTGCTTTTCTCCCCACGCCTCTCTGCTCTCTGCTCCCTTCTGTGCTCTCATGGCCACAACTCTTATCCACGCAGAAGTCTCCTAACGTGAGCCGTGGCCCTCCTCCGCTCCTTTATAACCCTGATCACAAATTCACACCTACCTCTGGGATGGCCCACCATAGTGAGTAGGGATGTGGTAATGACAAGTCACCTTTCTGTTATGGGCACATGTGCCAGAATATAAAGTCCTATCTCAGCAATTGGCTGAGGAACACTCTCTACCTTTTCCTTCTTTCAGACTGACTGGCCTGAAGGCTACCAACTGTCCAGTGCGATGAACTTCCGCTGGCCCCAGTGTGTACCCAATAACCTGAAGACCCTCATTCCAAACGCCAGCAGCGAAGCAGTTCAGCTCCTGAGAGACATGCTGCAGTGGGATCCCAAGAAACGGCCGACAGCTAGTCAGGTTTCCTTCCATTTTCTTCTGATGCAGTCCTCAGGAAGTTCGTGTCTAATTGTGAATGATTCCTGTATAGATCATGGGAAGTATTTTATTAGGTAATATGGGTGAAAAACAGGACTGAATACCACTAATCGTGAACTATATAAGGTGTAAGAATTCAAAATAGTTTGAAACTCTTTATGTCTAAAGCAGTAAAGGTTTAAACAACACAGTTGCTTTGAAAATGGCTGTACAGTTCACATCATATATCAATGATACATGGAAATGAAAACTGATATATCCACCTGTCTTTGGCAAATGTTTTCAAATATATTCTGAGTTAGGGTGATATATAACAAGTGTCTTTATAAGGCAGTACTGGTTGTCAAAAGGTAGTTTGAAAATATCTTGTAAGATCCATATCACTCATTTTACAGATGACAGAGGGAGAGAACTAGGAAAATAACTGTAATTAGCATTTTATAGCACTTGACAGTTTGCAAATGCTTTTGTATGTTTTTACGTGACTTTAATCCCACGAAGGCTCCATGAGATAGGTGTTACTGGTTTCATTCTATAAATGAGAAAATTAAATCTCAGAAAGTTTAAGTGATTTGCAAAAAAAAAAAAAGAAGTTAATGTGATTTGCCTTATTAACTCCACCAGTAGCTAGCATAGATATTGTATCATCAACAACAGTTCTGTCATGTGGCTGACATGCCTTCTGGCTCCTGTTTTTCCAACCTGCCCTCCCTCAGGCCATTTTGACTTGGATTATAAAGCCATACTCAAAGGAAGCATGTGGTGCTGTGGACTTCAACCACTCCTAGACCCCCTGCCAACCTCTTTTTGCATTGTACCTGGCTCCTTCTCAGCTTGTCTCATTGATAAATCCATTACCCAGAGGATGAAAAAGAAGACCAATTGTAATCAGACGGAGAGAGTCACTTGAGGACAGGGCCTGTGTGATGTTAGAATTTGCGAGAGCTGAGAGCTGACAGTTGGGGGAGGATTATGGTATGGGGGGAAAGCAACTTTCCAATGGCTCAAAGAAGAAAGAGCCAAGACTCTAGATGGCTCAGAAAGGTTAGAGAGTGCTCAGAAATGGACTTCTGGTGATGAAATTCACAAGTGTTTTCAGGCCACAGAAGGAAGCCTTCTGATGAACCCAGTTTTCTAAAGGATACATAGTGGCTATGAAAATAAAAAGATTCAGTAACAAGGAACCAAGAGAAGAATGTTCACTTTTTAGGAATAATACCAGAAAAGCTAAAAATACCCTGAATTCAGTTGAGACTTGCAAAAAATACCTGGGACTAAAGAGAAGACTTCCTGAGCTAGATGTGAGTCCAGGACCTCTTTGGCAGTGTCCATGTTATTTGCATCTATATCTGCACTTCCTTATCATTACAGGTGTTTATGGCTAGGTCCCAGAGTCACTGAGAAAGGTTATGTTATATTCAGTGACTTCCACTCAAAAAGACTAGGGAATATTTCAGAGAGAATTGCAAACCCCAGCACTTTAAGATTTATTCCCTGGTGATGCAGAAAGCCAATTATCTTTGGACAAGTTTTAACTACAGTATGTTTGACACTCTTGGCATTTCTGATGTTAAAGCAAATGTACCTGCTTATTTTTATTATTTTTTTATTAAAGTATAGCTGATTTACAGTATTGTGTTCATTTCAGATATACAGCGAAGTGATAGTTTTACATATTTTTTCTCAATTCTTTTCCATGACAGGCAGTTACAAGATACTGGAGATAGTTCCCTGTGATACACAGCAAACCCTTGTTGTTTATCTGTATCTTCTTATTTTATATTGGCTTTTTCAGAGTCCTCTTGGATCATTATATTGCCTCTCTCTATCTTTATTTATTTTCTTTCTATGGAATGAAGAAATGGACTTAGAATGGTGAAATGTTGTATTTAAGACACAAAGCAAATAAGTTACAAAACCAGAATATTGGCAGAAGTAGCAAAGGGCATAGCAGTGAACCTGGCTGCTTTGCCCAAATAATTTTGAGTGTGGAAACCAGTCCAGACATTTTACACTATTTAGGACAAGGAGAATCACAAGGGGTGTGACAGATTCAGGATGCTGTTTTCTAGTTGGTTTGGGCAAGCTACTGCAGTAGACTGGTTGATGTGAAACCTAGCCTGCAACCCTGAATGGTGTCAACCTTCTCGGCCAGATTCTTCTTCTGAAACAGCCTCATGTGTCATTCCAGGCTCTTCGATATCCTTACTTCCAGGTGGGGCACCCCCTGGGCAGCACCGCGCACAGCCTTCAGGAGTCAGGAAAATCTCAGAAGGATGTTCTGGAAAAGGCGGCCGCACCACCTCACGTAAAGCCGGTCCCTCCTGCCCAGCCCCCAGCCAAGCCACACACACGCATTTCTTCCAGACAGCATCAAGCCAGCCAGCCCCCTCAGCATCTCGTGTACCCCTATAAAGCCGAGGCTCCCAGGACAGACCACCTTCCGGAGGACAAGCCCAGCCCTTTGCTCTTGCCATCCCTCCACTCCAAGCATCCTCAGGCAGTAAGCAGGACAGTTCACCCAGGAGTCCTGTCTGACTATTCCTTTTCTGACCCCACTTCTTTTTTTTTTTTCAATGATTTTATTTATTTATTTTGATGGTACTGGGTCTTCATTGCTTGTGTGGGCTTTTCTCTAGTTGCAGTGCATGGGCTTCCCACTGCAGTTGCTTCTCTCATAGAGCACAATCTCTAGGCACACAGGCTCAGCAGTTGTGGTTCCCAGACTCTAGAGCACAGGCTCAATAGCTGTGGCGCAGAGCGTAGCTGCTCTGTGACATGTGGGATCTTCCCAGAGCAGAGATCCAGCCCATGTCTCCTGCATTGGCAGGCAGATTCTTCATCATTGAGCTACCAGGGAAGGCCCTGACTGTACTACCTGCATGCAATATTTTCTTTTCAGCATGTAAGGTCTAATTATAATAGATGGGTCTTTTTGATGTCATGGAATTGTGAAAAGAGCCTTGGCTTTGTAGTTAAAGGTCTAAATTCAGGTTCTAGCTCTGCCTGTGAATTATGGGGGTGGTGTCTCCAGACTGTCCACTTGACCCCAACCCACCTTAAAGCAGCAGTGTGTGTTTGTAAATTTCCTATTGTAGCTAATTCTGTAGTTAAATAGGATCCAGGCCTGCTGAGAAGGCAAATAAGGTATTAATTGCATTGTTTTCTATAAAAGAGCAGGTGATTGATACTTAAGTTACATTCTCTTATATTCTATTTAGGACAGTGTCAATAATGCTGATTCTTTCAGAGATGAGCCCTGGATGAGAATCCAGCCGCCTTCCTCCTATGCAAGAAGTACCCTAAATGTCCTTTTTTAAAGACTTACTTACATAGCTTAGTGTCCCCATTGAATGGAAACTGATGTAACCTGTGCAGGATAAGTGAGAGAGGTCGGGGACTGTTTCCCACCATTGCCTTTTTCAATAAGCAGTGCATATTGGGGAAGGCTACACCCCAGGGCCCTCCTCTGCACAACCGAGGAAGTTCAGAACGGTGTTACTCATGGGCGAGCTTCACTAATGCCAAGTATTGCTTCTCCTCCCCACCCACCCCCACCCCCAACCCCCTTGTATACGCAGAAAATTCTCACTGGCCTGGAGCACAAAAATGGTGAGATCAAGCCAAAGAGTAGGAGAAGGTGGGGTCTCGTTTCCAGGTCAACGAAGGATTCCGATGACTGGGCTGACTTGGATGACTCTGACTTCAGTCCATCCTTCACCAGGATTGACCTGAAAAACAAGAAAAGGCAGAGCGATGAGACGCTGTGCAGGCAAGTGTGGGCTCCCAGCTGTGCACGGACGGCCTCTGGGTTTGTGAGGTCGTCTTCACATCCGATGCGCTGCCCAGCTCGTGCTGACCAGAACCTTCTCCTCCCCGTTCAGATTTGAGAGCATCCTGGACCTGAAGCCCGCGGAGCCCGTGGGCACTGGAAACAGCGCCCCCACGCGGACGTCCTGTCCCCGGCGCGACACGCCCACCCTGAGGTCGGCGGCCAAGCAGCACTACCTGAAGCACTCTCGGTACCTCCCTGGTAATAACACTTCCTGCCTGTGCTCTGGTCACTGATGGGAAATCGTGTCCCTGGAATCTCGAGTTTGCAAAGCGTCTGTTTTGGATGGTGGTGGGACCACCATAGAAATACTTGCTGGGCTTCCCAGGAGGCGCTAGTGGTAAAAATCCTGCTTGCCAGTGCTGGAGATGTAAGAGACTCGGGTTCGATCCCTGGGGTGGGGAAGGTCCCCTGGAGGAAGGCACAGTCAACCCGGCTTAAGTATTCAGGCCTGGAGGATCCCGTGGACAGAGGAGCCCGGCGGGCTATAGTCCATAGGGCCTCAAAGAGTTGGATACGACCACTTAGTACACACAGGCTTTATATTTTCTTTTTCCTTTTGGCTGCACCTCGCTGCATGCGGGCTCTTAGTTCCCCGACCAGGGATGGATGGAATCCACATCCCCTGCAGTGGAAACTCTTTGGAGTCCTAACCACTAGACTGCCAGGGAAGTCCCAAGCTTCACATTCTTTTCTTGCCTAAGAAATTTGGTAGAGGAAACAGGAGTCCAGTCTGAGGAAGGGAGGAACCAGGAAGAGCCAGGCACCTCACCCGGGGTCTCTCCATCCCTATATGCTCTCAGGAAACCAGATGGGAGCTTAGTTCTCCCATCTGGCTTTATGTACCACAGGGGTTAAGTGAAGACACTCTAGTTGGAGAGTGCCCAAGCGTCTCTCCAGGCTTTCTGTATTCTAAGCATATAGCATTAGCCCACTGTTCATTCACAGATTCATTCCATCAGCCAATTTGTAATGACATCATTTTGTGCAGGGCGCTGAGAATATGGTGGACAAAACAGCCAACTGGGGCCACTGGGTTGCCAGTCTTCCAGGGTCTCCATTCACATCACAGTCTATGCAGTGATTTTAGCCAGCAACCTGTAGACGGTAGACGCTCGTATTTTGTAGTTTTGGGATACAGACCCTAAATAAGTGGGCACACAGTGGTTGCAGACGGTGACAGCGGTTGTTAAGGGTGATGTAATGGTGGAAGGAGCTGGGCCCCAGAGATTGGGAGGGAATTCCAAGTACAGAGAGATATGAGAACAGCATGCCAGGCAGAGGGAGCAGCCAGTGCAAAGGCCAGGAGGCAGGAGAGGGCTTGGCTTGTGAGAGGCTGCACATGGCCCGATCACTGTCAGAGGCGGAGGATGTGTTAGGACATAGGAGGCATCTTTGGGGTCTTGTAAGAAATTTGGGTTTTATTTCATGAGCAACAGGAAGCTCTTGAAGGATTGCAACTGGAGGAGTGACATGGTGTTGGCAACATCTGTGTGCGGTGTGGGCGAGGGACCCACAGTTTGTCACTGTCATACAGGTAGGGGCAGGGGATGGAGGCCCTGCTGATTCACTGGTTCCCCCCTGCCTTCTGCCTTGATTGGGAACCGGCCTCCTAAATATTGCCAGACCTTGTCAGGGATGGCACTGTGGCCTTAGGAGACTGGCCTGAAGGGAGACCTATTTCTTTTTGACTGTAGCGGAAGAAGAAGAATAAAGGATGGATTCAGTCTTTCTGTTCTGAAAGATAGCTGTGATGTCCGATGGCCTTGGGAAGTGGGTGGTCTGGGGGCGGGGGGCAGTGCTTTGTCTTGCAGCTGAGATCAAGGCAGCCTGAGAAGGGAGGGAGTCGTGACGGGTGTTGGTAGAGACCAGTGATGATGGTCCACGTGAGGTAAGGGGGTGGAATCTCAGAATTCAGAAAGAGGTGAGCAGAGGGCCGCAGAGCTGGGCGTGGCATTCTGGAGGGACCGAGAAGAACTTGGGCAGCTGATGGAAAGGCAGTGGTCTGTGAAGGTGGGCGAGTAGGAAAGCCAAGGGGCACGGAAGCCCAGGATGGCACCAGGGGGTCAAGACATCAGATGTGGACAGATCTATTGGTAGATGGTGAAGACACTTCTGTTAGGCCACCCACCAGTGAGACAACCCCGTCACCCCAGAGACAGCATCTTTCCTCTGCCACCTATCCAGTGGCGTCATCATGGTCAGTTTTGGATTGGTGAACCATAGGAGGTCTTTGACAAATCGGACTCTGCTTTCATCTCATCTCTGACATGTGGTACAAGACTGAATATAAATTTTGCATTTGAAAAAACATTTTTGCCCTATTAGGAATAAATATAAGAAACGGTGTACTCCCGAATCCAGGCAAGGATTTTATTCCACCTAATCCGTGGTCCAGTTCTGGTTTGTCTGGCAAATCTTCAGGGACCGTATCAGTGATCAGCAAAATAACTTCAGGTGAGTAATGACGTTTACTCCCTAAATGATAAGAAGCAGGTTCTCCGGGTGTGGCTGGGTGAGTGCAGAGAGACAGGGGATGATAAGCTGTGGAACCATGAGGGCCTCCCTGGTGTGGAAACCCCAGCCTTTTTTCCAGGCCTGTGCTCCTCTCTCTCACCTGGTAGCAGGCCCCGGGGGGCTTGACCAGCTCCCTTGGGCTCTGCCATCAGGAGTAGCTGGGGGGCACAGCAGACTTCCCTGGCTTGAGGGAAATACAATCTTTACAGAGCCTGGTGGGCTTCCCAGGTGGCGCTAGTGGTAAAGAACCCGCCTACCCATGCAGGAGACATAAGAGACTCGGGTTTGATCCCTGGGTCAGGAAGATCCCCTGGAGGAGGGCATGGCAACCCACTCCAGTATTCCTGCCTGGAGAATCCTGTGGACAGAGGAGCCTGGTGGGCTCCAGTCTGTAGGGTCACAGAGGCAAAGGTGACTGAAGCGACTTACCATGCACGCCCGCATGCAGAGTCTGGTTTCTTAGGCCCTGCTCTGTGGTCTGTGACCTCTGGGTATCACAGGGTCTGCCTTGTCCTGGCTTGTCTCTTCCATCTCATGGCTCAGCCTCAGCCCAGGGCATCGTTGGAAGGTGGACAGTTTGGAAGGCACTGCCCACGCTTTTTCAGTTGAATGAATTTTTCAGATGAATGAATTTCAGATGCACCCCACACAGGCAGCCCCTACCATGCGCGGCTTCCCCTTCCACATGCCAAGTAAACCACTGGGCTTCTCTTCTCTCTGCCTTTGTCCATTCCGTGTTCATGTATTTTAAGGAGTTCGAAAGAGAAAGAAAGAACATGTCCACACCCACGTACTCACCACCCAGCGTATAAAGTCAGACTCTGCCAACACATACGATTGCCTTTACTTCCTTTGTGTCCTTCTATTCAACCCCCAACCCTGTCCAAATTGGGTGTTTATTATTTCCATGACTTTTTTTTTTTTAGAAATGCCTAGCATGGTTTTGCATGTTTTAAAATTTATATGCTTATAATCCTGGATCTCCACTCATGTTAATAATACATTATAATGCATATATGCATTAATAATATATACAGCAATTATACACACATAGAATATATTTTACATTTGTGTAGGATGACATATGCAGTGTATATGTGTATGATACCATTCATTATTTATAGTAGAATATAAATTTTTTTAAAGTTCAGGTATAGTTGCTGATCAATATTATATAAGTAACAGGTGTGTGATATAGTGATTCACAATTTTTAAAGGTTATGTTCCTTTTATAGTTATGAAATATTGCTTATATTCTATGTCATGTACAATATATCCTTGTGACTTATTTTATACTTAATAATTTATACTCCTTAATCTCCTGCCCCTGTCTTGTCCCTTTCCTCTTCCCTCTCCCCATTAGCAACGATTAGTTCTCTATATCTGTCAGTCTGCTTTTTTATTATATTCACTAGTTTGCTGTATTTTTTATATTCCATGTGTAAGTGATATCATTAAGTATTTGCCTTTCTCTGACTTAGCATAATGCCCTCCAAGTCCATCCATGTTGCCACAAATGGCAAGATTTTGTTCTTTGTTATGGCTGAGTAATATTCTATGGTATACATGTACCATATCTCTATCCATTCGTCTGTTGATGGACACTTAGAACATAATTTATTCATCCGGTCTCTTGGCGAACATGAAGGTTGTCGATCATTTTTACAGTTAGAAAGAGTGGCTGGAGTGAACACTGATGCCCCCATAGGTATGCACATGTGACATGATCACGTTAGGTTAAAGGCTGTGCTCATCTTTGATTTCACAGATTTTGCCCCGCTGCTGTCTGGCAGGGTGCGGGAGTTGTGCCGTGTCCTTGATGCCTCTTGATACCCTCTAGATTGCAGATGTGTGCTCATCTGAGGGTGTGCAGTGGCATCTTACTGTGGCTTCAACCCGCATGCCCCGCTGACTAGTGAGGGTTGAGTATTTTCTCTTGTGTTTACTGACTCTACCTTTTTTCTGTCTGTGATTTCCTTGTTCTGATCCTCTTTCCATTTTTCTTATTTAGTCATCAAAGTTGCAAAAGGTGCTTCAGCTGACCAACACAGCTCCTGATACATGAGCTTCAGACTGTTCTTTCCACTCTGCCTTAAGTAGTTGCCAAGAATGCTCTGTGTTGGGAAGACACAGAACAACTCTTCCTCTCATGTGCTCTTCCTAACGGGTCTAACTTCCTAATGGATCTGTGTTATTTGTATAACATCCTTCATTGTTCCACATGCACCTTTAAGCCTTCGTAATAGGCTCGTTATAGATACCCATCTAACAGGTATTGATTACTTGCTATGAGTAAGGCTTTCCATGGACTGCCTGGAACACTAAGATGAGTAGGACCCAGTTCCTGCCCTTAAAACACTCTCAAGGCAGAAATGACATAAAAAGTGAATGTATTTAGTGAATTTTAATAATGACTAATTTTCTGGTTCTGGACAAGAATATCTCTGGTGTAGAATTACTTATAATGGCTGAACAGTTAACATAACCTGTATGCTAATCAATAAGAGAAACCTGTATGCTGATCAATAAGAGAGCGGTTAAAAATGAGTTATGGTTTAACCATACTCTGAAATTTGTCCATACTAACATGGAAGGCTAACTCTTCTATATTATTGAGTGGAAAAAAGAAAATTCCAGATCAGGTTAAACTGATTATTACATACAGAAAGAAAATTCTAAATGTCTCCTTTTTTTAACAAACCAACCCACCAGGCTCCTTGTGGGTACAGTCTATAGTCTCAACACTGTACACCTCGCACCCCACCCCCCTGTCTTTCTAACAGTGTGGTGTGGTGGAATGTTCTGCTCCGAATTCACTCTTTATCCTAATGCTTTTTCCCCTGAAAATCAAAACCCAGTTCTCTGTTGCCATGTGCCCCTGTTCTTTATCCTGGGGGGTGTCCTGTGCATGTCTTTGCAGTAATGAGCTTTTTCTTTTGCAAATCAGTTGGTTCTGGCTCTACAAGTTCTAGTGGACTGGCTGGAAACTATATCCCTTCCTTTCTGAAAAAAGAAATCAGTTCTGCTCTGCAGAGGGTCCACTTGGCACCTATTCCCGACCCTTCCCCGGGTAAGTTTTATTTGGGATTATTATTATTTGTGAGTTTATTCAAAAATAGTTATTAAACAAGTGATTTGTGCCAGGCGTGGTGGGCCTAGGGTCCACAAATGAAGGAGACAACAAAATTCCTTGTCCTTCTGGACCCGGTACTCCACAGACAGAAGTAAACCAAATAAGATGCTCCAAAGTGCTAAGGGGAAAATAAAGCGGGGAGTAGGGAACATGGGGGCGGGAGTGTAGGGTGCAGACGGGCATTTTACATGGGGCGGCCGAAGGAGACCTCACTGCAGTGGAGCCATCGAGTAAAGATCCACAGGAGATGAACAAGCAAACTCTGTATTTTGGCTCTTAGTGCATGGGCCTGCAGGCAGAATAAGCCTGGCAGATGCATGGAAATGGCAACCCGCTTACAGTATTCTTGCCTGGAAAATTCCATGGGCAGAGGAGCCTGAGGGTCTGCAGTCCAAGGGTTCTCAAGAGTTGGACACAACCCAGCGACTAAACCACCACAAATTCCTTGAGCAGAGTGGCCTGGGGAACTACCGTCCATGAGGCCGCAAAGAGCTGGACATGACTGACCCACCTTTCTCTTTCCTTACAGGCTATTCTTCCCTGAAGGCTGTGAGACCTCACCCTGGGCGACCGTTTTTCCACACCCAGCCTAGAAGCACTCCTGGGTTGCTGCCCCGGCCTCCAGCCGCCCAGCCAGTACATGGCAGGACGGACTGGATCGCTAAGTATGCGTCTCGGCGATAACTGTCACAAAGCCTTTTGTAGGGGACAGTAGGACCCTGCCCTCGGCCAGCTGATATTCTACCCGCCAGAGACTTCGGTTGGTGGAAAAGCAAACACTTTATAGTTATTCTTCTGAACTGAGACATTTCAATATTCTTTTTTAAAGTTTTTTTTTTTTAATATTGATTTGAATGCAGTACTTTTTTTTTTGTACAAAGTTATTTTATTCTAAAACTGGGTCCCATTATTTTCTTAAACAGCAGCATTTTGTATATATGGATTATGTTTTAGCATTTTATACAGTCAACTTTGTAAGGAACTTTTTAAAGATTAATTGATTTTCCTTTGGAGTTCCAGATAATATTTTATACAGATTTTTAAAAATATAATAATATTGATGCAGTATTGCAACAGGGGTGCAATTTACAGCTACGCGATAAAGGGTTATTTCCTCAATGTGTGTGGATATTTGTGAAGTGGTTAAATTTCAAATGTGGCATATTCGGTACTTTAAGCTTTTCTGGACTGACGTCAGCGCTAGAAAACTGACCATCTGCCGTTTCTCAATACCGTGTTATTGGTTTGACTTTTTAATACCGCTGTGCTGTTCTGAAAGTACTATTACATAATTCGCTTTGTTTTCTTTTTACTCCCCAGATGAAACAACTCTAAGTAAATATTTTTAGAAATGTTTACAACATGTATTTTGGTGACCGGTGATATCCAGCTGAAACCAAGCTATGCCGTCACATTCAATTTTCTTCCGTTTTTGAAGTCACTCTCTATAAGTACCCATAAAAGGGAAGCTTTTGAAGCCAAAAGGTTCTCCACATAAAGGTTAACACAGTGACTTAAACTTAAATCCCTGCCAAGATGCATGACCCAAAAGCCAAGTTTCAAAGTAGCAGAAGATTTTATATTATCACAACCCTTAGAATGTTGCATTTAGCTCAGTTCTCCAAGCCTGGCCAGAGAGAGATGATGAATAATCATTGTCTGCCCTCTGGTCCAATTATCAGGGCAATTTGGGGAGCAAGAAAAAATAGATGGCAGAGGTCCCTCTTGTCTGCGAAGTCACCGTGATGTTAAATGTCTGTCACATGCCACATGTGAAGAACTCTAAACCCTTGTGTAGTTTCTTTCAAAAGTGAGAACTCCATTGGGCAGAGGCTGTTCCATCGAGAGGAATGTTTACAGCAATTTTGAAAATGACAAAGCTAGTTTAGAAACAGAAAAAGGAAATCCACTCTGATCCACCTCTGTCAGGCACACTTACCTCCACTCATGATTACCTGAAAGACAAGAAAGAAGGTCACTGCCAGTGAACGCAACATCATCTCTAGAGTGTATAGACTCACTTTCTCCCAGGGCTCAAATCACTTTTGTTTGGTTCTAGGATATAGCAAGTGGAGTCAATGAAATTGTCATTTTTGTAAGTTAAAATGATAGGTGAAAATGAATATTGGTACTTTGATATGATTCAGCCTAAGTAGGTAAATTTTTGTGTTGATGTATTAATAATATGTTGCAGCCCATGGTTCCCAAAGGGCCCTCGCCTAAAATCAGGGAGCAATTTGTGTTTTCGAGAATCTGACTCAAAAAGGTACTTGACCAAGCCCCATGATTACTGGGGGCATGAGAAAAGCAAATGATGGATGTGGATTTGAGAGGTCTTATTTTCCTGTTAACAAACTGGCAGCAAAGCGTCAGGAAATAAATATGTATATGTAAGCACAACTTGAAGCTGAATTCATTTCTGTATTATATTTTCATTCTCTCAATCAACAGAGAATGTGTTTTCAGAGATAAGTCCTTTACTATGTGGTTAATATTTATTTCCCCTTTCTGTATTAGGAAGAAAAAAGTAAGTTAATCTGAAAGCTTACCCACCTTGCTAAAAAGCTGGTTTAAAATCGTAAATACCCTCTAGTGAACCAGATGGTGTATGAATGCCATGGTCCTCTAGCTTATGTTAAGATCATTACATTTTAATTGAAAAACCTACTTACCTGGTTACTATACATTATAAAATTGTTTTTCTATTACTTTTGTTAGGGCCTCAATGCAGAAAATACTTCACTTTTCTTCCTCTTCCTCTTGCCTTCGTTTATCAGCAGACATTTTCCCTTATTCATTTGAAAGTAAAGAAGCTGACACTGCATTGAGTAAACTGGAAGGCTGAAAAAAAACAATGTCAATTCTAAAGAACTAGCAAAATTCTCTAAAGTTCTCTTTTATTCTCACCCTGAAATGGGTAAAGGATGCATTGAGCATACAAGTACTGTAGAAGAAGGGAAAAGTCACCAATACCTTGTTAAGTAAAAAAGAAAATACTGCCTGTTGCCTGTATTTTTAGTTACTATAAGATTATAAAATCTACTACAAGACACCAAAAGAAATGATGAGTTCAACTAGACCTATCCACGACTGTACCTCATGTCAGGCATAAATGTTTTATGGGACGTCAGGAGATGGTATAGCCTCCAAGGGTCCAGTGACAGTGGTTATGCCAAAGGGTACGTGTGTGAACTGCAGGGAAAGTTGCATGAGCCTAAAAGCTATTCTTTGTGTGATTGTTCATTTCGCAGTAAGCTGCCATTAATTACTAAGCCCTCACCCAGCTCATATATGATTTAAATAGGAAGAAAACCGATTTTCTCAAGCAATTTCTTACAGAGCTCTTGCTTCAAGGACCATAAACGTCTAGTAAACGGATGCTGTGTCATATTATGGAGTGATAAAAAACTGAACACTTGAAGACAACCCATGTAAAACAGAATTGTTTTTTAAGTACAAATTACCAGTACTGTTGGAGTTCACAGGTACCATGTTTTCTTATGAAGTGGCATCAAGCCATTGTTTTGTGCCATTTAGGAGAGAAAAAAAGACTACAGGCTGTATGTTTTAGCTCAGTGTGTGATCCAAAGCAATATGTTTATAAGAAAATGTTTGACGTACTAATTATTTTCTATCATTTAAAGCATACTGTAGCAACTTGTTTAATATATGTGGTTAATTTTTAGAATTATTTTTACAATTTCCAACCAAAGTACTGTATTTTATATAATTTATTGTGAGGACCTTCTCGTGGAAACCAACAGAAGACAAAGTGGGGGGCAAATATCACATTAATCTGTATTATCAGTTTCTTACAGACACTGCTAATGTGAATTTTAAGTGGCCTGAATAGTCTTCTGATCTCGGATATTTCAGTACTGACAGCAGTTTCGTCCCTTGATTTGATTACAAGGGAGCAACTAAGAATATATTTAATTATAAAGCAAATATTCATAATGATGAGAAGATGGGAGGACCGAAAACTATTTACTCAAGCCCCTTCTGAAGTAAAATGTTCCTTTTTGAATAGTTTGTCCTAAGGTGTTTAAAAACGTTAACTTTACTTAAGGAAAATTCTGCTCCAAATAAAGTTACAGTTTAAGAAAAATTGATTTGAGTATTCTGTTTTTGTTGTTATGTTCTTCCATCAAACAATAATATTACTGTTTCCTAATTTGAAATTTTCATATTTTATAACTTCTTAACACCTATTAAGAGTGTTTACTGCTGTGAAATTGGTAGCATATACTTAGACCAGCAGTTGGAAGCGGTATTTTGCAATGTGGAGACTATTTAAATTTAGCTTTTAGCAAATTAGGTGTCTAGGAATATTTTAACAAAACAAAAAGCACATCAAAACAATTTATTGTTGCCGATTTCCTCATGATAAATACCTACCTTGTATTTTTCTAGCTTTCACACTATACTCACACGTACAGAATAAACATGTACAGTATAAACCTTCAAAAGACGCTCATACCTTCACGAATTCCATACAGGATTCCACAGGAAATTCATTTACCAAACATTCTTTGAGTGCTTGAAAGAATTTTGAGGGAAAATGATTTACCAATCAACCTTGTATTGGTGAATCCACAGATGTGCCCTAGCCCATCAGAACACCCCTGACCTGAGTGTGTGATCACCCCATTTGTCTAACGACCCCCCCCATCTCCCCTCAGCCCTCCCTCCACCTCTGCAGATGCTGCATAGATTCAAGCTCTCAGTCATCCTTCCTGCTATCAAAGCCTGCTGTTAGAACAGCTGAGACTGAATTTAAACCTTTGTGACTCTTCCTGGAATGTTTACTTACAAACGCTCCTCTTAAACTGATTTTTAAAGCTCTTGATTTTTGTTAAGCAATTTTACCTGCTACTGAGTGGGTGGGGGGAAGGGTCAAAGGCTGGGACAAGTTCCCAAGCCCTCTGAATATAAATATATATCCACTAGGTAGAAAGACAACGTGAATAAGACTGTCTCAGGTTGAGAGCAACCCCAAGGGTCTCCAAGAATAGAATAATTTCAGGGGCTTCCAAAGAGCAGAATGACCTAAGGGTACTTTCATAGAATGGCAGAATTATAACAGGATTTTTTTAAATTTCTCCACAAGCCTGTTTGATGAGAGTCTTTAAGACACTGCCTTAGTTTCTCTTTCAGATAAACAAGATTGCTAGGATGATGTGACCCCTAATTTATTAGGTTGGACATATAAAGTGTCCTTTTTTTTTTTTTGGTTAGAAGAAAATAGTAAAATACCAGCAATTTGATATGGTTCAACCAATTAGAAGAAGCAAATGGATATAGAGGTCTAACTGATCAACAAAGTTGATAATAGTGCTTTTCCTGTATAGTTCGATGAAAGTGAATCTTTGCAGAAAGGTGACCTGGAGAAAACTGATAAAGATCACCACCTCCAGTGGGTTTGAAAAATATGGCTTGCCTCTCTGTCAAACTGAGTCATGTCTGTGTTAAGTCAGAATTAGAAAGATGAAATTGAACATATAGTATTACTACTGTTTGGAAATGACTTCCAGTTCTAAGGGTGCCCAGCTGTTCTTGTTTGATTTTCTTCTTACTTTACATACTTTCTCTGGATACTTTCTTTTACTGCCAGATTAATCCATCTCAGTCCTCTCTTCTGAGTTGTCACTGGCCTCTTTTTTTAAATGTTAAAAAAAAAAAAG